GGAGAACCAATGCTCTAAAAGCTTTTCTTAACAAAACCAAAGGTTTTAACTAGAGAAGAAAAAAAGGACAAGGCAAAAATTACAGGCATCTCAAGTAAGCAAAACAAAATGTATGTCACATCAAATATTCTTGTCTTCACTTTATTCTAGTAAGAACAGAGTACAAACTTCAAGTCAAAGTTAAAGAAAGCATTTTCCTAATCCTACTTCAAATCCAGACTTTGGGAAAGAAGCTTAAAGGACTACTAAATTGTAGAAGGATGAGTAGAATTTATTTCTGCCTGTTCATGGAAAGGTGTTTTAATCAACTGGATGGCACTGGTAATTAAGAAGAGTAAATGATGCTTCACCAATTTTCCTTTCATCTAGTGGCCTGATGATAATATGTTCCAAAGGCTTGGGTGATTCTCCAGAACAGTACTGAACATCATATGAAGACTATGAAGTTTAACAGAGCAGGAGGAATTAGCACAGATCACCTTCTTTCCACAGGCAGCTATACTGAATCAACAGTATTTTGTGATCAGGATTCCTTCCATTCATAGAAGAGCTCTACTGAATATAGCCCTGGACTTCCTGGTACTTTATTCCAAATCACTGTTCAAACCTAGAGATGGGATGGTAAGGAAGACACAGATAGAATCCTGTCAGAGGTAACCATGTCTCCAATCATTTCTGCTGTCCCAAGAGGATGGACAGGGTGGGCGTGCTCCAGTTCTCCTCTGTTAAACAATATCATCTAATGGGATCCCGAAAACTTGCCTTTTTTGTTGTGGTGCCTGCCCTATGGAATGGCATACCTCCTGAGATTTGAATGACCCTGATCCTGCCAGCCTTTCATAAGGCACTGAAGACTTGGTTCTTCCCCTGAGCATTGGGCCAGGCTTTAGGTAAACTCATTTGGTTTTGTGGTTACATTTTTTTTTAATCTCTCTGAATGCAATATGTTGTTTTTCAATTATTTTTATTTATTTTTGATTATTTTGAATTATTATTAGAGTTGTGTGTCAGATGGGGGAGCATATAAATTTAAATAAATAAATAAAGTATTCAAATTACTTCACACAGAACTATAAAAGTTAAATATATTAGATGTATATTCAGTTTAGTCTATATTCTGCTCTTGTACTGGAAATGAATTCTACATTCTTAGGATAAAACAGTAAAGTTATTGATTAAGGATTCCCCTATAATACCTATCTCTATGTTTAGCAGCCAACAACAAATTCCATGAGAAAAAAAGTTGATTAAATCATGAGCTGCAAAAAATATCAGGCTTACACATTCTTCCTTTGCCAACTTCCTTCCATGCAGCCAAATGTTTAGTTTATCATGTCATCTGATCAAATAACTCTGGCTATTGTTAACTGTGTGTATCTTAAATCACACCATAATTTAAACTGAATGTTTATTAATCTCAGGTAATATTAATTACAGTTCTGGAGCTGGACTTCTCATAAATCTGTGGATGAGTAAAAGTAAAAGCTTCCAAGCTTCCTGATTACTTGGCAGTAGGAAAAGTAAGTGTGCAAAAATAAAACCACTGCAATTTGTTAATACTTATAAGCACTGCATTCATTTATGCCTTAGCATGATATATGAAAGAGCTGGTCACTAACAACCTGTGACTACATTCCCAGACTTCCTTGGCAATTTGGCACTGGGGCACCATGTACTCCAGAAACTTATCTAATCCCTTTTTAACTAGTATTTATTATTTCTAACAGCCATGAATCACTCTTCTGCCACAGGCACACAAAGCAATTTTCAGTGGACACCACTGATAGCGTTTCCTAGCAACAGGCACAGGCTCCACAGACAATTTGCAGGGTTCAATTAAAAAAAAAAAATCCTTGACAGTGTCCATCCTGTTTATGCCATCTATTTAAATTTCAGTGGGAGCCCTCTGATTTTTTTACCCCATAAGAAAAAAATCATTCACAACTAAACTCCATTCATGATTTTGTGGACCTATTTAAATTGTAGCAAAGCTCTCTGTATGGCAAGAATCTGATGTTAATACCTTGTCGGGCTAATCAGTAGAACTTAATTTTAGTCCGTGTCTTACATAATCTCAGCTTTGCTCATATTTTCAATTTTTTAAAAGGAAGAAAAAAATGGATCCAAACTACAGAAAACAAAATCCAGGTGTAATTCAGAATGGGACTATTTACCCTGCACAACTGAAACTAACTTTACAACAGCATAGCGAAAGAAACCACAAAAAAGCTTGGACATCTCACAGAGGGGAGCTAATATTCTATCAACTCCCCACTACAGTGCCTCCAGAAAACCAAAGACCTACAAACAGATGAAGATGAAATTATGGTTTCCTTTGATGTCACAGCACTCTTTACACCCATAGAATGGGAACTAGTGAAAGAATCCATGGCAGCAGTACTATACGACATACCCAACCTAACCAAATACATTAAGACTGAAATATCCAGAGTCATGGACCTCATCAACCTCTGCCTCACTACCTATTTCCAGATTGAGAGATAAATTTACCAACAAATCAGAGGAACACACATGGGATCACCACTCTCAAGACTCATTGCAGAGATTGTAATGCAGCATCTAGAAACTATAGCACTTCCACGCATACAACCAAAAGTATGGATCCAGTATGTAGATGAGACCTTTG